TTCTTCGAGATTTTGTCCAATCACGATGCACTGCAGAGGTGGGTTCTTGATAAAATGAAAAAAAAAGAAATCTGGATGGTAATGTAGCCGACACATTCTGAGAACAGAATCCGTCCAAGCATTCGGGACTGGAATAGCAGAATTTTTATTTGCGGATTCGAGTGATTTAAATTTATGTTACAATGGTTGTTTTTATGTGTTTTTGCTATGCAGCGCTCTAGCGCTGCTACAGCCAGCGAAGACGCATATTGTCCAGAGGCTGTGTGTATGTTCGGAAAGCGAGTGCATTTTGTCACCCACTTTCATCTCAGCAACCAGGAAAGCTGAGAGGCTGAAACTTTGGACATACGTCCCTACCCCGTGTGTCATCCTCCCGTTTTAAGATCTTACCCCATACGCGCCTAGACCCCGCGTACGGGATCCCCAAGGAAATATGTTGGCAGGGAACGATTTCTCGAACCAGGCAACGTAGAAAGCTGAAACTTTGCAGGGATATTTTTTATGCACGTACGAGATAAAAATTTTAAACTCAGCTCTCCAGCACCCCAACCGCAGCCTCAAGCAGCTCCTCAACCCATAAATCGTTAGCAAATCGGACCCGAACCGCAACTGTATATGCAAATGAACATGGATTTTTTGAAAAACGACCGTTCGAGCAATACTTTCAATATTTAATGAACTGAAAATTTGCATATTTTCAAAAAATTGTTCGCAGCTCGGACCTGAACCGCAGTCGTATATGAACCGTATTTTTTGAAAAAATGCAAATTTCCAGTTCATTAAAAAGTGGAAGTGTTGTTCGAGCGGTCGTTTTCAAAAAATCCATTTGTCATTTTGTCACAAGCGAGCATTTACCGCAAAAACAACAGCAGAATTGTCACAGTCCGTGCCTGGCCGCCCTCCCCAGCGGGGAAGCACCGCGCATCCAAGACGATAAAACCGGTCCTACCTCCCCCCCCATCCTTCTCCTCGGCCAATACCAGCAACAGTCTCCCGGGCAACAGTTCCATCACCACTGTAATTTATGAAGCGACCTGCAGGACGCAGATATCTGTGGCAGCACTGTTGGCTTAGCCGGCTGGTGGTTCTTCTGCTCGGCTGGACAACATCCGAAAGCAAATTGTGTTGGCTATGGGATAGGATTTGGAGAGCAGGGCTTGAAAGATGGAAGCGCAGGGGGGAGGAGGAGGGAGTGGTATAGATCTCGAAGGTTGTAACGGAGGAAAAGCGCTGCATTCATGTGAAAGGATGCCCCTATGGATTCTACACACTCAGCCAAAGCTCTGATGCTTAATATCCTTGCGAACGCGAGGCCTAGAACTTCAGCTAGACAAAAAGCGGACACCATCATTTCCAAAATTCGAAACCGAAAACGCTGGTGAGTGCATATTCGGCGCGGCCGAGCCGAGTTTTAGTAATTGTCGTTCCCGGCGCCGCTGCTAAAATTCGGCTCAGCGCACGATATGCCTTCGTTTTTATGCGC